CATAGTCAATCTGATTCCTGTGTTGACCGTCTGGTGATGCCCATGTGTAGAGTCGTCTCTTGTGTTGGAAAAGAGTGTTTGCTATGACCATTGCATTCTCTTGACAAAATTCTACCCGCCTGTGCCCTGCTTCATTGTGTACTCCAAGGCCAAACTTCCCTGTTATTCCGGTTATCTTTTGGCTTCGTACTTTAGCATCCCAATCCCCCATGATAAATAGGACATCATTCTTTGGTGTTAATTCTAGAAGGTGTTGTAGTCCTTCATAGAACCAGTCAACTTCAACCTCTTCAGCATCAGTGGTTGCGGCATAGACTTGAACTACTATGATGTTGAATGGTTTGCCTTGGATTTGAACTGAGATCATTCTGTCATTTAGGACACTGTATCCCAGTACTGCTTTTCCTACTCTTTTATTGACTATGAAGGCTACTCCATTTCTTCTGAGGGATTCAGTAGTTATACCTGATGGTCATCTGAATTAAATTCCCCCATTCCTGTCCATTTTGGTTCATGGATTCCTAAGATGTCGATGTTCAGTCTTGTCATCTCACGTTTGACCATGTCCAGCTTACCTTAATTCATAGATCTTACATTCCAGGTTCCTATGGAGTATAGATCTTTACAGCATCGGACTCTCCTTTCACCACCAGATACATCTGCAACTGAGTGTCCTTTCGGCTTTGACCCAGTCGCTTCATTCTTTCTGGTGCTACTAGTACTAGCCCTCTGCTCTTCCCCAGTAGCATATTGGACACCTTCTGACCTGAGGGGCTCATCTTCCGGCATCATATCTTTTTGCCTTTTGGTACTGTCCATGGGGTTTTCATGGCAAGGATACTGGAGTGGGTTGCCATTTCCTTCTCCAGGGGATCACATTTTGTCAGAGCTCTCTGCTATGACCTGTCCGTCTTGGGTGGGCCTGCACGACATAGCTCATAGCTTCATTGAGCTAAGCAAGCCCCTTCGCCACGACAAGGCAGTCATCCACGAAGAGGAGCCTCCCTTTTATTTCCCCACAATACCGTAATTCTAGCTCGGGGCATTGTGAGACATGAAAAGGGTAGCCAGAGAGAATCAGCAAGTTCATCTAAGAATGTTGGTGGCGGAGCATTTCTCGGGGCTCGGGCATGCATTAACCTTGGCTGGACCTCTCTGAGGATGCCCTTTGGAGGCTCTTGCACTGGAGTACCGAATGTAGCTCAGGAGCCACTGGGCATGTACAGAGCACTTCCCCTCCCTGCCAAGTAGCTACTCACAGTGCTCACAGCGATGTGTTCGAAAGCCGCTGTGTAATTCCCAGGCAGATACAGCCCGACCAGCCCTTCTTCTGAAAGCTCCAGGCTGGCGGGGAGAAGGCCGCTGGAGAAGCACCCACAATTGAGACGAGGCTGGAGATGCATGTGGGGAAAACCTGCTGGCCCTCAGCAACCCCCTATGCACATCAGCTGGGCAATCCTGCTTGTGAGACATGGTGCTGAGCGCACAGCCCCGCCACAGCCCAGCTGGACGCACAGACAGGCCTGCTTCCCTATGGCCAAAAGCTGAGTTACCAGCATCCCGGGGAGGGGGGGTGATAAGAGGCAAGGATGCCCCCTCCGTGCGGTACTCACCTTGGCACCCCGAGCCAAGTGACTGGGGCTCCCCGGGCCCTGCGCAGGCAGCGCAGGCACCGGCGCTGTGGAGGCCTCGGCCCACCCACTTGCTGTCTGGGAATGCGCGAGCAACAAAGGTGGGCCTGGTTCCCATTAAAGCTGCTGAGCAACAGGAAATGGCTGTGAGGGGGCAGCGCTCCCCCCTCCATGACGGAGGAGCTCCAGGGAACCGGAACGGGGGCCGCGGAATTAACCTGGCTCCTCGCTGCTTCCGGGTGGCGGGGACACGCAGGCACCCGAGCCCCATCGAGCGGCTTTCTACCTGGGCACAGGGACACTCTGCAGGCATGAGGCGGACAAAGGGAGCGAACGCACCACCGGCATAGTTGCTTCTGAAGGCTTTTTTTAAAGGCATGATGACGCGCTCAAGTGAAACAAGGGCAACTGCGAAGCTGCTTGGTTGGCTGCCCTTCTCGGGAGGGTGCAGAGTCCTCAGGGGCCCCACACAGCCCTGGCCTCTTGGAACTCTCCACTGGCCTTTTCCCCAGAGGGGGCAGTTCCTGCGGTTGTGGGGAGGCCTGCAAAGAGCCCCTCGCCACCACACTGCTTTTACATCCCAACTTTTCACCTTTTGTGAGGAACCCAAGGTGGCTTAAATAGTTCTCCACTCCGTTTTTATCCTCACAAGAACAACCCTATGAGGTAAGTTAGGCTGAGATGCACCTCATGCGCATCATGGCTGTGTGGGGACTAGAACCCGGATCTTCCACTCCTCGGCCTGGCACATGAACCACTGACACAGGCCATATCCATTTTGCTTCTTACCTGGTGTTGGGAAAATTCAGATAAATCCTGGCAGAAAAAGGTTGCTTATATGTGCCTTTGTGTTATAAAATCAAACCTGCACCCCTTTCTCAGAAAGCAGCAAAATTCCAAGGTCACTGTTTGGTGGTGCTGTTACTTTAAGAAGATGGAATTCTTGACTGAGAAGCTGCTGGAGGCTAACTCTATTAGTGAGGAAATACCTGTGTTCTCATCAGCTGCAGAAAAGCTGAAACCGTGGCATTCATTTGTTTCTGAATGGACCACTTAAGCATCTAGTCCCACAGAGGCAAGCGCCTGCTCAGTTCAGTTGTCAAACCAGATTTCCTGAATGGTTCCTCAGTCAGACACATTTCCGTGCTCAAAACCGATCAGAAATACTGGCAACAATAGGATCGAATTCAGTAGATTTCTTTGCAGTTTGGATTATTTTGTCATGCCTAAAGACATCAGGAAGCTATTGTACTAACGTTATCGGGAAACGTAACACTCTGTATTGGTCTATGTGACTAGCAGGTTATGAAAGTGTCCATGAGCTGTGATTTTGTAGCTGGTGGTCAGAACCGGTAGCCCGATGCTCCCCAGTCGCGTGCTGTCGTGAGCCACTGCAGAGGTCCTGGGCGATCTTTCAGTCAGACTGCTGAGGTCCAAGGCAAAAGGGCCTTGCCTGGCTGAACCTGGGTATCCTGTTTCGGGGCTGCCAGTGTGGCTTCCTGACACTGGCTATCAGTCGTGGCTGCCGAAACGTTCCAGCTGGAGGATGCAGGGGCACCTCGGCTCAGTTCACGACCAAAGTGGGTCGCGATCAGAAATTTCATAAAAATTTTGCCGCAGGGTGTGAACTCTGCATCGGGTGACCATCACAATTGCGCCCGTCTTCCCAGCGCAATTGCTGTCATGCTGGCGGGGGCGGGGGGATGGCCGCGATCTTTGTTACTTTGTCGTTCTTTGTCACTTTGTTTCAAATTTTTGTGATAAAAAATGGTTACAGCATGGATTAACCTTATTTACATTGAACCTTATGTGGAAATTCGACTTGGCTCACGACTAATTTGGGTCATGACCAGAGTCCTGGAACAGATTAAGTTTGTGAGCCAAGGTATCACCGTACTTGTAAATCCGGAAGGTTCCTGGAGAAGCCACTGCAAAAAGGAGCAGAAGTGCAGCTGCCGTGCTCCCTAAATTCCAGGCTGAAGTCCAGGCTGGCGGGACTGGAGTAGGAGGCACTGCTCTGCGGTGGTTCTGCTCCTACCTTGACGGCCGATTCCAGAAGGTGGTGCTGGGGGACTTTGGCTCTGCGCCATGGCAGCTATGCCATGGAGTACCGCAGGGGTTCATTTGGTCCCCCTTGCTATTCAGTATCTACATGAAACCACTGGGAGAGGTTATCAGAAGGTTTGGGCTGTGGAGTCATCAGTACGCTGATGACACCCAGCTCTACATCTCTTTTTCAACAAATCCAGGAGAGGCAGTGGCTGTACTGAATCAGTGCCTGGCCGAGGCAATGGGCTGGATGAGGGCCAATAAACTGGAACTCAATCCAGACATGACGGAGGTCCTGTTGGAGGGTGGTTCGAGCTCCTGGGCAGGTGACTTGGACCTTGCCCTGGACGGGGTTGCACTCCCTCTAAAAGACAGGGTCCACAGGTTGGGAGTGCTCCTCGACCCGGAGCTGTCCCTGGAACAGCTCCAGTGACTGCGGTGGCGAGGAGCGCCTTCCTTCAGCTTTGGTTAATCCATCAGCTGCGTCCCTACCTGGAGGACGACTGCCTGGTGACTGTGACACATGCACTGGTTACTTCCCGATTGGACTACTGTAACACGCTCTACGTGGGGCTGCCCTTGAAGACAGTCCGGATACTTCAGATGGTGCAAAATAGAGCAGCCAGGTTGCTGATGGGGACTAGGCGTTACTCTCATACAACCCAGTCCTCTACCTGCTTCACTGGGTCCCCATCGAAGTCTGGGCTCAATTCAAGGTGCTGGTTATTACCTATAAAGCCCTTAATGGCTTGGGACCTGTATACCTGAAGGAACGCCTTCTTCCATATTTGCCCTCCTGCCCCTTGA